GAATGGATGAGGAAGCTGTGGTACATATACACCATGGAATATTACTCAGCCATTAAAAAGAATTCATTTGAATCAGTTCTAATGAGATGGATGAACCTGGAACCCATTATACAGAGTGAAGTAAGCCAGAAAGATAAACACCAGTACAGTATACTAACACATATATATGGAATTTAGAAAGATGGTAATGATAAACCTATATGCAAGACAGAAAAAGAGACACAGATGTAAAGAACAGACTTTTGGACTCTATGGGAGAAGTTGAGGGTAGGATGATCTGAGAGAATAACATTGAAACATGTATATTATCAAGTGTGAAACAGATCGCCAGTCAGGTTGGATACATGAGACAAGTGCTCAGGGCTGGTGCACTGGGATGACCCAGAGGGATGGGATGGGGAGAGAGGTGGGAGGGGGTTTCAGGATGGGGAACACATGTAAATCCATAGCTGATTCATGTCAATGTATGGCGAAAACCACTACAATATTGTAAAGTAATTAGCCTCCAACTAATAAAAATAAATGAAAGAAAAAAAAACCTAACATCTTGAAAGTAAAAAAATAAAGATGCTGGGTGGATGAATCACAAGCTGGAATCAAGATTGCCGGGAGAAATATAAAGAACCTCAGATATGCAGATGACACCACCCTTATGGCAGAAAGCGAAGAGGAACTAGAGCCTCTTGATGAGGGTCAAAAAGGAAAGTGAAAAAGCTGGCTTAAAACTCAACATTCTAAAAACTAAGATCATGGCATCTGGTTCCATCACTTCTTAGCAAACAGATGGGGGGAAAGTGGAAGCAATGAGATTTTACTTTCTGGAGCTCAAAAACCACTGTGGACAGTGACTGCAGCCATGAAATTAAAAGACACTTGCTCCTTGGAAGGTTTGTCTGTGACAAACCTAGACAGCGTATTAAAAAGCAAAGATATCACTTTGCCAATAAAAGTCCTTATAGTCAAAACTACGGTTTTTCCAGTAGTCATGTATGGATGTGAGAGCTGGACCATAAAGGAGGCTGAGCACCAAAGAGCAGATGCTTTTGAATTCTGGTGCTGGCAAAGACTGTTGAGAGTCCCTTGGACAGCAAGGAGATCAAACCAGTCAATCCTAAGGGAAATCAACCCTGAATACTCATTGGAAGGACTGGTGCTAAAGCTGAAGCTCCAATACTTTGGCTGCGTGATGCGAAGAGCCAACTCATTAGAAAAAGACCCTGATGCTGGGAAAGACTAATGGCAAAAGAAGGGGGAAGCAGAGGATGAAATGGTTAGATAGCATCACTGACTCAATAGACATGAATTTGAGCAAACTCCGGGAGACCGTGAAGGACAGGGAAGCCTGGCATGCTGCAGTCCATGGAGTCCCAAAGTGTTGGACACAACTTAGCGACTGAACAAAAGGTAAAATCCCATTGGCAAGCTATATCATTTCAAAAGCTTTACACACTCAAAATTTTGATAGTTACTGCCAAACTGCTGCTCAAAAAGATAACACGGATTATACTTCTAAGAAGTTTCCATTATTTTACATTATAGGCAACTGTAAATATTCCATTATTTACATTATAGGCAACTGAGAACATTTTTCACATTGGTTACTAATAAAAACATACAAATAAACCACTCACCAGAAAATCTTCAAATCTCTCAGAAAAATAAGACACTCATAATCATGGAAAGTCTGTTGTGTGTGAACCTAGGGTGCTCCCCAGACCTGAGACCCTCACTGCAAAATGAGGTTGTTGTGGGGACTGAATGAGATCTTGCCGGCAGGGTGCTCAGCACCATTACTTCAACCACGAAGCAGCAAGCCCCGACTGCCAGCCAGGCAGTGGTTCCCAACACTGAAGGGAAAGGTCACTGCCTTCCGGGAGCACCTAGCTCCTAACAAACGTGGTCATCCCAGCGTGTGGTAAGCACTGTAAAGAAAACCCTTGATGAGACGGCTTCAGACAGGGTGGTCTGGGAAGTACCCTTGGAGGTGATGTTTGAGTACAAGTGTGAATGACAAGGAGCTGACCACGTTAGGACCTAGGACGTGGTGTTCTCAAAGGTAGGAAGAAGGCCGCCGTGGTTTATTCAGACGAAGGAGGGAAGATTCTGGGCCTCCGAGGCTGCAGTAAGTGCTCAGTAAGTGGTAGCTGTTGCCACTGTCATTTTTTTCCCACCATGAGCTGGAGACCAGGGCCCCTCGCCAGCTCCTCCTGATACCCGGGGCCCATCTCTTGAGGGTCATGAAGGCCCAGGGTCATCAGGCACTGAGCGGCTGGAGCAGGTGAGCTTGCCAGCTGGGCAGAGAAGACCACCTGAGGGTCTGACCTTCCCCCACAACTGTCAACTTTTCCAGACCTCAGGGTGGAGGTGCTCGGGGCCGGGGCAGCAGCTGGCAGGTCTGGAAAGGTGGCCTGTACCGTGAGGATGAATGAAGTACAGGGAGCTCGCCCCGACCTGCTCCTCGTTCTGCAGAAATTCAAAGTGCTTAGGACGAGGCTTCCCTCTTGAAAAGGCCATGGTTTCAACATAGGCCTCCAGCCTCCCACACTCTCCCTCCACCACTGGGAGTGCTGGACTGGGTACATGGTGGGTGTGAGGAAGGCTGAGGCGCCGGGGTGGCTGTGCCAGCCAGGTCTTCAGACAGTCCCTGATTCCAGCCCTATCTCCGCTCCTACTGCCTCAATGAAATACAGGTGATGGTACCACCTCTGTCCTTGTGTTGTTAGAGGTGTCGATGTGGTAATGCACCTGGGGTACAGCCGTAAACTGCAGCCCTTATTATCCACAGGGAGGCTGCGGCACAACCAGCCAGGCTGTGTGGCCTGTGTTCTTTCTCCAGACACCTCCTTGCTTACGTCTGGGACTTCCATCGCCCTGCCCACACAATGAGGAGCTAGCCTCCAAAACTTCTAAAGGCTCTGCCACCCTGGGAGTCTTTCTGGCTGTAAATCCCAAGACAGGGCCGCCTACCCTTCTGACAACGCTCTTCACCCTGCCTGTCCACAATTCTTGGCTCTGACTCGAGGAAAATGCCTGGCTGCTACTCCAAAGGGAGCCTGCAGCCTCACAGTTGCCTCCTCCCACTGAGAACACAGCAAGAACAGAACAGCTCCTACTTGGGCCCCTTCTCTGGGCATCACCTCACGAACCCCCGGAGCAACCCTGGGAGGTGGGGGCCACTTCAATCCCTTCTACTGATGATGCAACAGGTCCACAGAGCAGAAGAGATTTGCCCTAAGTCCCTCTGCTAGAAGGCGGAGGAGGAGTGGGGAATTTGAATCCCAGAGCAGCAGGGAAAAGCAGCAAAAGCTCTGGCTGGAGGGAGTGTCTGCCCTCAGCACTCGAATGTCCAAGCCTGCCAGGGTCATGGGCAGCACTGGGCAGAGACGGGAGAAGCACTCGGGACCTGATGGGAGCTTTTATTCAGACAGCAGAGACCCGCCTGCCCCTCTGCCTCCCTCTTCGTCAGGCCTTGGGAATCAAGGGCAGCCCTTCCCCCCGTGAAGACCCCCCAGCCTGGCACCCAGAGATCACTGGCAGGCAGGGAGGGCTCGGGCACATGGGCTATGGACCTGAGCAATCCCTGAGCACATGGGGTTCGCGCCCGGCTCCCCAGGGGCTCCACTGGCTGCTCCCTCCCAGGGTGGCCTTCGAAGCCGCTCCGCGGCAGTCATGATAAATTATAATGAGTGACGTCCAAGGGTCAGAGTTCACAGAGGAGGAAGCCAGGTGCTGGCAGAGGCGTGCTCCACTCCCGGCAGAAGAGGGGGGTGGGGCGGGGCCGCAGGCGCTCAGGGCCTACACCAGGCCCTCCACACGCAGGGGCGGCTCCGTGATGCCCAGCTCCTGCCGCAGAGCCTGCAGGGGCTGTTCCCAGCGCCGCTCGTAGTACACGTTGAGGACACATGGGGCTCTGCGGCCATTCTCAACTGCCCATGGGATCAGCTCCGAGATCAGCAATTGCAGGCTCCTGTGGGGCCGCAGAGGAGACAGAAGACAGAGGACCCGGGGTCCTAAGCGCCGGGCACGCCACCTGCCTGGAGCCAACGTGTGTGTTCTCAGTTAATCCACACACAGACCCAAGAGGAGGCAGTTCCCAGCCCCACTTTTCAGATGAGGAAACAGAAGCTCAGTGAGGTAAAAGCCCTATGCGCAAAGCCACACATTTTGAACACGCCAAAGCCCCTTTTTAAATCGAGGGCTCTCCCCACCTCCAGAAACTAATGCCAGACTGCGTCCCCAGGAACCCGCACCCCCACCCCACCAGCTCCAGGTTTCCTGACCCAACTGTTTTCACTTGATACTGGGGCCTGGCCCGTGAAACCCTCAAGTCCTATGAAGCGTCCAAGCTTCACACCTCATCCTGGAGCCCCTGCGCTAGGCCAGGTTCACGCTCTGCCCCAGCCTTCCCATCCTGGCTTCCAGAGATCCACTGGGGTTGCTCAGAAAGGCTGTGGGCTCTTCCCATTTCCTGGAACCCTGAACCTTCCCCTGACCCCTCAGCCCTTGAGAACTTACTGGGTGCTAAGCTGTATCGGTCCGAAGAGTGCACTCAGGACGCACATGGGCAGGCCGGTCTGGACAGCCTCAAACCATTTCACCACGATCTCTCCTGGCAGGCAGGGTGAGGAAGTGGGTGAGAAGTGAGGATGGGCCAGGGGAGGAGAGGCCAGTGATGCTCAGGGCAGGACACAGCGAGGCGTCTGTTCCACTCCGATCTCTACCGGGGGTCAGCAGTGCCCAGTCCTGGCCTGTGCTGGGCCTTGGGGCACTTGGCTTGGGGTGGGGGAAGAGGATCCAAGAAAGAGCAGAAGGAGGTAAGGGCTGGAAAGGAAGCTTGGGGTCAGGATGCGGAACTCCAAAAGCCAGGCTGAGGAGTCCAGGCCTCTGGGAACCGCTGAGGGTTTCAGAGCGTGGGGAGCCCAGGTGTCTGGACGCTGCCACGTCAGTGTAGGAGCCGTCAGAGGCACTGGGGGTGGAGGATGGGGATGTGTGGCCCAGATACACCACAATGTTCGGGTAAAGGGAAAAATGAGGCACTGGGTCAGCTAACTGGTGAGCGGCTGAAACAGGTGTGCCCTGACCTGGCCCTGCAGATAGATCGGGAGACAGGCTGAATGGAGGGCCCGGCCCCGACTCAGGCCCCTCACGGGGTATGCTCCACCCCACCCGCACTCTGGAAGCATCCAGGGGCTGCTGGCTGGCCAGCACTCACCCAGGATGTTGGTGGGCATGCCCAGCAGGGTGTGGAGCATGTCGTGGATCTCCCGGTATCGCTGGATCACGTATGCCAGCTCCTCGTCGTCCACGAAGCGGGTGGGTGCGCGGGTGTCTGGGGAGACCCTCTGAGGATCATGAAAGTGAAATCAGTCGTGTCTGCGACCCCATGGCCTGTAGCCTGCCAGGATTCTGCATCCATGGGATTTTCCAGGCCAAGAGTACTTGGCCTGGAGTGGGTTGCCATTTCCTTCTCCAGGGGAATTTTTCAGACCTAGGGATTGAACCTGGGTCACCTGCACTGCAGGCAGATTCTTTACTGTCTGAGCCACTGTCAGGGGCTTCCCGCCCCCTGACAACCATGACCCCTCCCTAGACCCCTTCCTCGTGGTTCTCGGGGTCCAATTTCCCAGCCTCCCCTCAACTCTCAACCATGCCACCAAATTCACACCGCACCAGAACTATCTCAGGACTTTAGGTCTGTCCACACCTGCTGACAGGGGAGTCTGCAGGCAGGGAATATAGGGGGCGCCCCCGTGGCCTACCCCAACTCACACAGGATGTACACCCCCTGCTGGAATCTCAGAAACCCCTGGCCGGGAGGGGGAAACAGGAGGTGTTTACTGATATTGAGTTTCAGTTTTTACAAGATGAAAAAGCTCTGGTGATTGGTTTCACAACAATGTGACTATATTTAACACACTACTGAACTGCCCATTTAGAGATGACTAAGATATAAATCTTATGATTTTTTTTTCTTGAACCACAATTGGAAATAAAATGAGGAGGGGGGAGAGAAGATGCACCCAAGGCCCCCCCCCCCGTTCTTCAGATAAGCTGCTCCCGGCCTAGGGTGCTCTTTCCCTTTGACAATTCCTACCTGTCCCTTAGAAGCTGGCTCAAGTGTCCCTTCTGCAGGAAGCTACCCCTGACCTTCAGACAGATCAGGTCCACGTTATGGTCTCTTATAGCACCCGGTACTTTTTTGTGGCATCTGACATGACTGTATCGTGATGTCTGGGGCACGTGATCGTTAATGTCTCCTGTTCACACCAGCACTGTTGAGTACAGCAGCCAATCGTGGCAGCCACCAAGCCTTGAAATGAGACAAGTGCCAACTGAGATGTGCTGTATGTGTGAAATACACACTGGAGCTCCAAGGCTTGGCATGACGAGAATAATGTGAAATCTCAATAATTTTATAGTATCGATTACATACTGAAATGGTATTTTAGCACACAAAAATAAGATATGTTATTAAAAGTAATACTACCTGTTTCTATTTTGTTTTTGTTTATCTGATAGCAGCAGATTCTAAATTCCCTTCATGGTAAGCATGCTATCGCCGTGAACAGTGCTGCAATAGCCTGTCATCAGCCCAAGACCGGGCTCTCTGTTCTGTCTCCAAGGCCTGGAATCAACTTCTTGTAAATACAGGAGTAAAAGGCCAGCTCCAGGCACTTTCTGACCCCAGGCAGGGATAGCAACTGTCCTTCTTTACCTGCCCACCGGCAGGGATGGCAACTGTCCTTCTGTACCCGCCCACTGCCTCTCTGAGTTCTCAGTGGCACCATGCAGAGTAGGTCTTCCTAGTTTCAGAGCATGAGCTCAGCCTGTCCAGAGGTCAAGGGATTTGGTGCCTTTATTTTGGGGGCTGCTAGCCCAGTGCCATGGTCTGTATTTGTGACTTCATTGGGTCCCTGGTTCTAATTTCTTCTATAGAGTTCTATCTGCCGTGTGAAGCTGAAGGTGGTCAGTGAAGGCCGACACCTACTATGTGCCAGTACTGTATGAAGTCCTCCATACATATTGTCCTGCCACATCCTGAGGCCACCTGGGGGTAGATATTGCTATCAGCCTCAGATACAGATAAGAAAAAAAGGAGAGATAAAGTAACTTTGTCAGAGATCACACAGCTAATCAAGTGGCTGAGTCAGGATTCCGAACACAGCCCGCTGGATCCCAAAGCCTTAACATCCATTATTAATCAGCCATATAAGTGCCTTGGAAGATAAACATGAGGTTTCCTTACCTCAGATAAAGAGTCTGAGGCTCAGAGGTCAAGTGATTTGCCCAGAGCTTTAAAGATGGAAAGAAAGACTAGCAGTCAGTCTCAGGGGAGGTGGCCTCACCTTGACCTTTGATCTAAACCTCCAGTGGGACAAAGGTGTTCCCTTATGTTTTGTGGGCTGCCGGGTTTCTATACACTAGAAGTGTCACAATCTGCAGGGCTATTACTTAAGGCTGTGGCTAAGCAAGGTGCCCAGGGAGGCCTTGGCAGTTCCGTCCCATCTACAATAGGACAAAAGGCTCTAGGGGACTTCAGAAGGAGAATATCCTTTTCTGGGTGGTACCTGGAGCCAACTTCCCATTGATGAAATAAACTTGCATCTTGGTGAAATTTCTGGGTGATGGTATAAAATGGGGCACGGGCAATAGGGAGCAGTACAGGAGAGGATAGGAAGATGATTATTTTCTCAAGGACAATAATCTAAAGCAGATGTTCTCAACCGTCTACCTGAGGATAGCTGCAGTGTCTGGAGACATTTAAGGTTGTCACAACTTAGTGGGGCAAGTGCTACTGGAATCTAGTATGTGGAAGCCAGGGATGTTTCCTACAATGCACAGCGCTGCCCTACAACAAAGAACTCTCCAGCCCCAAAAGTCAACAGTGGCAAGGCTGAGACACCTAGCTCAAGAGCAATCTTGGCTCACTCTTTCACCTCCTCCAGGCTGGCTGGCTCCTGCAGCTGGACTGGATGGCAACTTGACAGAGATGCTCTGATGGGATGTGTATGTGTTGGGGGGCAGGAAAGGGTAGGAACAGAGACTCTGCTCTGCTATAGCCTAAGGTCCTTTTATAAAGCAGAACATGTTACTATCTGGCTCGAAACCTCAATGGCTTCTTATTGCTTCTATTACAAAATACAGACTTTGTCTCTAAGCAGATAGGGTAGGGGGCCCATGGAGAAGGAGAACCAGGCATGACATTCTTGAGATTAGAGAAGCCACTTTAAAGCCCAAGTCAACTTGTGATCTAAGCCTGAACACAATGCTTGCCCTTCAACATGTCTCAGTAATTAATCATCTTAAAGGAATAAAGGGATGCAGGAACTGAGGAAAAGCAGTTAAGAAACAATGAAAGAGAAGTGAAAGTGTTAGTTGCTCAATCATGTCTGACCCTTTGTGACCCTGTGGACTGCAGCCCACCAGGCCCCTCTGTCCATGGGATTCTCCAGGCAAGAATACTGGAGTGGGTTGCCATTTCCTTCTCCAGGGGATCTTCCCAACCCAGGGATTGAATCTGGGTCTCCAGCACTGCAGGAAGACTCCTTACCGTCTGAACCATCAAAAAATAATAGTTCAAATATAAAAGAGTCCCAGCTCCTCCTCAAAGAATAAACATTAACAATCTGATATGTATCTTCACACTTTTCTATAGGAACTAAGGCCCCCATCCAGGTGGAGAGTGGTATCTACATGCTAAGATCCCAGATTAGTTAAGAAATGATGATGTTGACCTGACTCTCCTGATATCAATCAACTAAGACTTGGACCCTGTCGACCTTTGCTCCAATTCTATGCTGAATTCTCTGCTCAAGATCTGATAGAGTGCCTGAAGAACTATGGACGCAGGTTCGTGACATAGTACAGGGGGCAGTGATCAAAACCATCCCCAAGGAAAAGAAATGCAAAAAGGCAAAATAGTTGTCTGAGGAGGCCTTACAAACAGCTGAGAAAAAAAGAGACGTGAAAGGCAAAGGGGAAAAGGAAAGATATACCCATCTGAATGCAGAGTTCCAGAGAACAGCAAGGAGAGATAAGAAAGCCTCCCTAAGTGAACAATGCAAAGGAACAGAGGAAAATAATACAATGGGAAAAAGTAGAGATCTCGTCAAGAAAATCAGAGATACCAAGGGAACATTTCATGCAAAGATAGGCATAATACAGGACAGAAAACATATGGAACTAAAAGAAGTAGATGATATCAAGAAGAGGTGGCAAGAATACACAGAAGAACTACACAAAAAAATCTTAATGACACAGATAACTACCATGGTATGATCACTCACCTAGAGTCAGACATCCTAGAATTCGAAGTCAAGTGGGCCTTAGGAAGCATCACTATGAACAAAGCTAGTGGAGGTGATGGAATTCCAGCTGAGCTATTTCAAATCCTAAAAGATGATGCTGTGAAAGTGCTGCACTCAATATGCCAGCAAATTTGGAAAACTCAGCAGTGGCCACAGGACTAGAAAAGGTCAGTTTTCATTCTAACCCCAAAGAAAGGCAATGCCAAAGGATGTTCTAACTACCGCATAATTGCACTCATTTCACACGCTAGCAAAGTAATGCTCAGAATTCTCCAAGCTAGGCTTCAGTAGTATGTGAACTGACAACTTCCAGATGTTCAAGCTGGATTTAGAAAAGGCAGAGGAAACAGAGATCAAATGGCTAACATCGGTTGGATCATAGAAAAAGCAAGAGAAAAACATCTACTTCTGCTTCACTGACTATGCTAAAGGCTTTGACTGTGTAGATCAGAACAACTGAAAATTCTTCAAGAGATGGGAATACCAGATCACCTTACCTGCCTCCGGACAAACCTGTATGCAAGTCAAGAAACAACAGTTAGAACTGGACATGGAACAACAAAGTTGGGAAAGGAGTATGTCAAGGCTGTATACTGTCACCCTGCTTATTTAACTTATATGCAGAGTTCAGTTGCTCATTCATGTTCGACTCAGCAACCCCATGGACTACAGCACGCCAGGCTTCCCTGTCCATCACCAACTCCCGGAGTTTGCAAGAGTATATGCAGAGTACATCATGCAAAATGCCAGCCTGGATGAAGCAGAAGCTGGAATCAAGATTGCCAGGAGAAATATCAATAACCTCAGATATGCAGATGACACCACCCTTATGGCAGAAAGCAAAGAGGAACTAAAAAGCCTCTTGATGAAGGTGAAAGAGGAGAGTGAAAAAGCTGGCTTGAAACTCAACATTTAGAAAAGTAAGATCATGGCATCTGGTCCCATCACCTCAAGGTAAATAGATGGGGAAACAATGGAAAAAGTGAGAGACTTTTATTTTCTTGGGCTCCAAACACTGCAGATGGTGACTGCAGCCATGAAATTAAAAGATGCCTGCTCCTTGGAATAAAAGCTATGATAAACCTAGACAGCATTATTTAAAAGCAGAGACGTTACTTTGCCAACAATGGCCCGTCTAGTCAAAGCTATGGTTTTTCCAGTGATCATGTATGCATGTGAGAGCTGAACCATAAAGAAAGCTGAGCGCAGAAGAATTGATGATCTTGAACTGTGGTGTTGGAGAAGACTCCTGAGAGTCCCTTGGATTGCAAGGAGATCAAACCAGTCAATCCTCAAAGAAATCAGTCCTGAATATTCATTGGAAGGACTGATGCTGAAGCTGAAGCTCCAATACTTTGGCCAACTGATGCCAAGAGCTGACTCATTAGAAAAGACCCTGTTGCTGGGAAAGATTGAAGGCAGGAGGAGAAAGGGATGACAGAGGACAAGATGGTTGGATGACATCACCAACTTGAATGAAATGTTTCAGCAAGCTCTGGGAGATGGTGATGAACAGGGAAGCCTGGCGTGTTGCAGTCCACGGAGTTGCAAAGAGTCAGACACAACTGAGTGGCTGAACTGAACTGGACTGTAGCCTGCCAGGCTCCTCTGTCTACGGAATTCTGAACAACAAGCCCCTTCATGAATATGAATATACCGTCAGCTTAAAGTTTCCTCAATTTTGCTGTTAACAGACAATGCTTTGGGAAAGATCCCTGGTGTTCTCCATACACACTGCAAGTAATAAATCCTTCCTTCTCCTGATCTTTGGTTTGGTTGCATCTTTAGGCTCAACACCCACCAAGAGTGGCTTTGGGGGTAACCCAGTTTTGGGGTGACACTCCCCGTGGCGCGCAGGGCCTGGCTGAGCTAGGCCGACCTCCCAGCCCACTGGCGGCCTCCCCACAGCTCATTCCTCTGAAGCTATGCTGGCCACATGGATCAGTCTTCCTTTCCCTAAACACACATAGCCTCGCACTTGCCAGTTTCTCTGCTCAGAATGCTCTTCCCCAGCTCTCCTCAGAAGTGACTCCTCCTTAGCCTCCTGGAAATCTCCACCCCTTGCCCAAAACAGTTGGAATAATCCTCCCACTCATTAGCCGATGAAATTACCCAGCCCATAAAAAAACGAACCCTGCCACATTGCGAGGCCACCACTCTCACCTTCTGTGGTGGCCCACACTCTGTCTGTGAAGTGTATTTTTCTCTGAATAAATTCACTTCTTACTTATCACTTTGTCTCTCAATTGTCTGTGATGAGACATCAAGAACCTGAGCTTCAAGACTGTGGGTTTTGGCTGGGTTCGAGTCCCGGTCTGAGGTACACAGTGTTTCAGCAGGGCCTCCTATGACCACCCTGTTGGAAGTGGCCACCAGCCACCCTGACCCCACCCTTGCCCTCTATCGAGTAGGCTGTTGTCCTCACGGCACCACCCGCGAGGACAGAAGCCCCACAAGAGCAGGCGCTTTCCTAGTTTGATTCAGCGTGTCCCAGCTGCTGAGGACACTGGTGTGATTTTTCTTCTTCTGGCTGCACCGAGAGGCATGCGGGATCTTAGTTCCCTCACCGGGGACTGAACCTGCGCCCCTGCACTGGAAGGAAGATTCTTAACCACTGGACCACGGGAAAAGTCCCATCTGGTATGTTTTAAGTACTAAATAAATATTTTGCCTGAATTTTCACATAAAAGTTTTCTTCTTTTACTATTTTATGGTCTACCCGTTTCCTCACTAGAATATTAGTTCCATGAGGGCAAGACCTTGTCTGTCTAAGTTGCCACTATATCCCCACGCTTGCATCAGTGGATGGCGCATGACTGACTCTGAAGAAATGAATGAGTTCCTCGGTAGTTGGGGGTCCTGCCCGCCTAGTCCCTGTCCTCTCTGGCTGGGGTTGGAGAGTGTCACAACTTGTCACACCCAAGGGGCACACTGTCTCTACAAAAGGGGACACAATGTGATAGTTGAGAGCATAATTCTGATTTGAATATTGCCTCCAATAATATGGGCCTGTGAAATCAACAAGTTGCTTAACCTCTCTGAGCCTTAGTTTCCTCATCTTGGCAGAGCTGTTGGGGGGAATTCAGTGAGATCACGTGTGAACCTGCCATGTGGCACACAGTAGAGGTTAGTAAGTGCAGGGCAGTGTAATTGCTTGGAGCGATGCTCCAGGCCCACATGCCTGAACCACAGAAAATGACAATGCCTTGGCACGAGAGACTGCAAGGCAGTCCTGCCTGTGGTGGAGGTGCAAGCCCCTCCTTCCTCAGGACATTACTCATGTGCTATTCATCTGCCCTCCCTGGTGACTGCCAAATGCACAGAAGCTGGAGACTCACATTCACATCCAGGAAACGGAGATACGCGCAGCCAAAGGAGCCCTCAGGAAGACCCCGGAGCTTGCCCATGTCAAGGGTGGACAGCGAGATCCGGGGACGCTCCCTGTGAAGCAGAAGGCAGGACTCAGATACTGGGAAGGCACCAGCAAAGGCAGGTGGAAGGTCCAGCTAGATCAAGGGTGTGAGAGGTGAAGGGGCAGAGGGCAGCAACGGGGCCCCTACTACTGGCCAGACCGGTGGCAGGGACTGAAGAGACTACCACAAGCTAAGGCTGTGGTTCGTGCCTTAGGTAAATAGACCTCAGATGTGATCTGGGTAGTCACACAGGGCACTGCAGGGGTGGGAGTTACAGGCAGCCTATGTTATGGGAGGCACAAGAGCCCTGTTGTTGGAACTGGGCTGAGGCCACCATACTGCACTGTCCAGAGGTCATCAGAGTTGTCTATGTGAATGATACCTATGGAGTTGAGCAGTGCCCAGCCTGTGCAACCATCCACAGCCATGGTATCAAGAAAAGTTTCCTAGAGGAACACCATGTGATTCCACAGGAATCAGAATCCCCAAAGAATGCCCTCAATCCCCCAGGCAGAGCTGGGACCTACTGCAGGATCTGGGCACCCTCTGGATCCTTCTTCATCTGGTCCCTGAGGACCTTCAGGGTACGGTGTCCTGTGGTCTCTCCCAGAACTGCAACCATGTCTGAAAGGGAAAAAAATGGGGACAAATGGAGGCTATGATCTTAGGTAAATTATCTGACTTGGTCTAAACCTTAATTTCATACATGGTAAAACAGAGGATCTAGCTCTTAGTTATGAAGATTCAAGTGAAACAGTGAATCACCTGGGCACACAATAGAGCTCAGTCCGGCTCTAGTTACTATTGTCATCAGTCTAACGGGGTGAGGTGGCCCTGCCTAGCACAATGCTCCAAAGAGTTAATAAATCACTTTCACATCCATCATCAGGACAGAATGTCACGTCTCTGTGGATGGGCAGACTGGCGTCAGACAGTGCTGGGTTCGAGCCCCATGTGGATCACTATGTAGGTGACTGTGTGCAAACTGCTTCATGTTCCCAATCTTCAGTGTCCTAATATGTGAAGTGCAGGTAATACCTTTCTTTTAGGGTCAATGTTAAAAGTCAAGAAGGTTATGCATATAAAATACTTAGCACAGTGAGCAAGTAAAATAAGGGCTCAGTGAGCAGTCAGCATTATCATTTTTACTGGAAAGAAGAATAGTGCTTTCAGGCCTAAGAATCCTAGAGGGGAGGAGAAAAACACTCAGGATCCCAAAGTGTCCTATTAAAACACTCAGCAAACATTTATTGAACGTTTATTACGAGCCATGCACGATCCCAAACGCTAACAGGATGCTATCATTTGATGGGCGCTCATAAATTATCTAGTCCAGAGGTTCTCAGTGTGTCTGAGTAACAGAATCTCCCAGGAAGCAGTTTTAAAAGGCAGAAGCTCAGATCCCACTTCCCTTCCATTCTCCCCTACTCACTCCTGCTGCTGCTGCTAAGTCGCTTTAGTGGTTTGACTCTGTGTGACCCCATAGACGGCAGCCCACCAGGCTCCCCCTTCCCTGGGATTCTCCAGGGGAGAACACCGGAGTGGGTTACCATTTCCTTCTCCGATGCATGAAAGTGAAAAGTGAAAGTGAAGTCGCTCAGTCGTGTCCGACCCTTAGCGACCCCATGGACTGCAGCCCACCAGGCTCCTCCGTCCATGGGATTTTTCCAGACAAGAGTCCTGGAGTGGGTGCCATTGCCTTCTCCGCTACCCACTCCTGGCAGATTCCAATTGTGTAAATTTAGGGTGGGATCCTGGTATCTACATTTTTATGAATGTTTCGGATGATTATGACTTGCAGCCAGGTTTGGTTATCCTGGTCTAGTCTAATCTACAGTTAACCAAGCAAACGGGGAGGCTTTGACAATGGCCGGGACCTGCCGGGCTTTAAAGGCAAGGGCGCATCGGGCCCCGGACCCCCGTGGTTGTTGTTCAGTCGCTCAGTCCTGTCCGACTCCTTGTGACTCCATGAACTGCAGCAGGCCAGGCTTCTCTGTCCTTCACTATCTTCTGCAGTTTGCTCAAACTCATGTCCATTGAGTCGGTGATGCTATCCAACCATCTCATCCTCTGTGTCCCGCTTCTCCTCCTGCCCTCAATCTTTCCCAATGAGTCGGCTCTTCGCATCAGGTGGCCAAAGCATTGGAGCTTCAGCATCACTCCGGATCCCTAGTTGCCCCAGTAAAGCGCCGGCGGGGCGGGCTGCCTTACCGTGGCGATAGGGATCGTAGAGCGCCATCCCGGCAGAGCCGGCGGCCAGCAGCACCTTCTGCAGCGGGGAGGTGGGGATGTGTTCGGGGTAGAGCAGGCCGGCGCCATGGCTCACGGCTCTGAGGGGAACACCTGCGGAGCAAGAAAACAGCCGTGCGGTCAAAGGAGCGGAGCGAGTCACGTCCCCGGCCCTCCTTCCCGCGCCCCCGCTGCTTGCCTGTAGAAGAGCCGGGACTGCCTCGGAAGGCGCAGAGCGGGCGCAGAAACCCGCGCAGCAGCGTCGCCATGGCAGCGGACACCATCGGACGTCCTGGGGGAATGAGCGGGGCAAGGCCGACTCCGCCCCCCCAAACTTCTCTGGAGACGGCGCGCCGGAGAAATCAAAAAGACTCGAGCCCTACTGCGCTGAGTGGGGAGGGCCTTTTGGGCGGGAAAAATAGCACGGACAGGAAAAGTCTCTCGCTAAGCATGAGAAAACCTAGGCAACCCCTTTGTTACCTATACCCACGGATATAAAATCCTCCTCATTTCACCTCAACCCCAAGAGAGGTTTCCAAGTAAGCCTCGCCAGGTTTGGGGTTCAGTACCGGACCCTACGTCCTTCTCCATAGCACGTTTCCCCCCCGAGGACAATAAGAAGGGAACCTCTTCCGGCCGTGAAACATGGCGGCGCCCATTGGTAGTACAATTTTTGGGGGGCGGGACCATACAGCACTTCCGCCCGAGTTCCGCTGTTCAGCGCCAACTGGGGCCGCGCCGGCTTCACCCATGGGGTCAGCAGGCTTGGCTCGGCTGCAGGGGCTTTTCGCCGTCTACAAGCCCCCGGGGCTAAAATGGAAGCATCTACGGGATACTGTGGAGCTGCAGCTTCTGAAAGGTGGGTGCCTCGAGCCAGACCCAGGATCCCGCTCCCGTTCCCCAGGAGTTCATCTTAGCTTCTGATCCTTGTTGCAAAATAAGATCATGTGACGCAGTTGTCTGGGCACAGCGATTTCCTAACTGCCTGTTAGGTTCACAGTACCTCGCTTTCTCCCGTGTTCAAATGGGTAAACAGATTCAGTACTGCCCGTGGTCCTAAGTAATTAATAAGTGGTAAAGTCAAGATTTGAACCCAAGTCTGTTTCTTAACTTCTGCTCTTCTCTGCACCGTGGACATCCAAGCTGTCTTCTACAACAGAATCGATGAGATGTTCTTTACGTGTATTCAGGTCTAAATGCTGGGAAGCCTCCTGCCCCTAAACAGCGTGTTCGCTTCCTGTTGGGCCCCGTGGAAGGCAGCGAAGAGAAGGAGCTGACCCTCACAGCCACCCGTGTGCCCACACTCATCGACCATCCCTTGGGTAATGCGCATTCAGGAAAGGGGCTGGGTGTCGCTTCCCCGGAAAATCCCTGCCCAAAGTCCGTGTGTCCCAGCCAGACTCCTCCTGTCCCCGACCAATGTAGGACCACAGCGGCAATGAAGTGTTTGACCAGAGATTGGCAGAATTTCCTGGAAAGGGCCAGATAGTCAATATTTTAGGCTTTGCAGTTTTCTGTCATTGTAATGCAGAAGCAGCTGTAGACAGTGTGTAATGAGCCTGGCTGTGTTCCAGTGACACTTTACCTGTGGATTTGTTGTTGTTCAGTCACTAAGTTGTGTTCTCTAAGTTGTATTTGATTCTTTTGGGACCTTGTGGATTGTAGCCTGCCAGGATTTCCCAGGCAAGGCTGCCATTTCCTTCTCAAGGAGATTGAACCCACATCTCCTGCACTGGCAGGATTGTTTACCACTGAGCCACCAGGGAAACCAGGCATCACCGGCTGAATGGACTTGAGTTTGAGTAAAGTCCGGGAGTTGGCGGTGGACAGGGAGGCCTGGCATGCTGGAGCCCATGGGGTCACAAATAGTCAGACACGACTGAGCGACTGAACTGAACTGACTATGGAAGCCCCTTACTTGTGGATACTGACATTTGAATTTCATGTATTTTTCATATATATCATGAAATAATATTCTTTTCATTTTTTTAAAACCACTTAGTAACATAAGAATCATTTTAACTTGTGGGCCGTAAAAAAGCAAAACTTAAGGAGTTGACCTGTGGACTGTCGTTTGCTGACCCCTTTATTATTCTGGGATTCCAGGTAAAAATTGAGACCCTTAGGTAGAAGTCCTAAGGACAGACAGAATTTGGAGCTCCTGTGAAAGAGTGACTTAAGATTTCTTTTTTTTTTTTATTGAAGTATAATTGATTTACAATATTGTGTTAATTTCTGCTGTACAGCAAAGTGATTCAGTTATATGTATGTATACATTCTATTTCACATTCTTTTCCATTATGGTTTATCACAGGATATTGAATATAGTTTCGTATGCTATACAATAGGACCTGGTTGTTTATCCTTTCTGTGTGTGTGTGTGTGTGTGTATGTGTGTGTGTGTGTGCGCTCAGTCACTCAGTTGTGTCCGACTCTTTGCAGCCCTGTGGACTGTAGCCAGGCTTCTGTGTCCATGGAATTTTCCAGGCAAGAATACTGGACTGGGCTGCCATTTCCTTCTCCAGGGGGTCTTCCGGGCCCAGGGATCAAATGTGAATCTCTTGTGTCTCCTGCATTAGCAGGTGGATTCTTTCCCACTGTGCCACCTGGGAAGCCCATTCTATATAAAATAGTTTGCATCTGCTAATCCCAAACTCCCAATTCATCCTTCACCTACTTCCCTTCCCCTTTGACAACCACAAATCTGTTGTCTATGTCTGTGAAGAGTGACATTTTATAGTCGACGAAGCTAACCAACTGTGAAACTAGTTCTGATAATGAGCCCCCATCTTTAGATATAATTAAAATATATGTTTGGGAGGCTATGGGAAGGCTAAGGAGCTTAGAGGCCAGGAGTCTCTAAAACCCCTTGGACAGAAATACTCAGTGAGTCTACAGTGTTCAGTTCAGTTGCTCACTCGTGTCCAACTCTTTGTGACCCAGTGGACTGCAGCAGGTCAGGCTTCCCTGTACATCACCAACTTCCAGAGCTTGCTCAAACTCATGTCCATCCAGTCGGTGATGCCATCCAACCATCTCATCCTCTGTCATCCCCTTCTCCTGCCTTTAATCTTACCCAGCATCAGGGTCTTTTCCAGTGAGTCAGTCCTTCGCATCAGATAGCCAAAGTATTGAAGTTTCAGCTTCAGCCTCAGTCCTTCTAATGAATATTCAGGGTTGATTTCGTTTAGGATTGACTAGTTTGATCTCCTTGCAGTCCAAAGGACTCTCAAGAGTCTTCTGCAACACCACAGTTCAAAAGCATCAATCTTTGGCACTCAGCTTTCTTTAAAGTCCAACTCTCCCATCCATACATGACTACTGGAAAAACCATAGCTTTGATTAGACAGGCCTTTGTCGGCAAAGTAATGTCTCAGCTTTTTAATATTCTGTCTAGGTTGGTCATAGCTTTTCTTCCAAGGAGCAAGCATATTTTAATTTCATGGCTGCAGTCACCATCTTCAGTGATTTTGGAGCCCAAGAAAATAAAAGTCTCTCACTTTTTCCATTGTTTCCCCATCTATTTGCCATGAAGTGATGGGACCGGATGCCATGATCTTAGTGTTCTGAATGTTGAGTTTTAAGCCAACTTTTCACTCACCTCTTTCATTTTCATCAAGAGGCTCTTTAGTTCTTCTCCGCTTTCTGCCATGAGGGTGGTGTCACCTGCATATCTGAGGTTATTGATACTTCTCCTGGCAGTCTTGATTCCAGCTTGTGATTCATCCAGCCCGGCATTTCACATGATGTACTCTGCATATAAGTTAAATAAGCAGGGTGACAAGATACAGCCTTAATGTACTCCTTTCCCAATTTGGAACCAGTCTGTTGTTCCATGTCCATTTGAACTGTTGCTTCTTGACCTGCATACAGATTTCTCAGGAGGCTGGTAAGGTGGTCTGGTATTCCCATATCTTTAAGAATTTTCCACCATTTCCAAAACCCCTTGGACAGAAATATTCAGTGAGTCTACAGTATAACAACAGCAATAGCAAGTATGATGTGTTGAGGGCCTACTCTGCACTAGGTACTGTGTTAAGCTTTTCCCAAGTACCATCTCACTGAATCCTGTGAAGTGGGTCCTAGTCCCATTTCACAGATGAGAAGGTGGAAGTTCAGTGTTGGCTAATGTTAAATCATGTAGCCTGGATTCAGTAGGCTCTTAACTACCCCATACAGTTACCCTAGGTTCCTCTTGATCTTCAGAAATGTAAAAGCTTTTAGCTCACTCATGCATTCACTGTTTTTTTTTTTAAGCCTCTTTCTTGAGGTATAATTGATTTACAAAAACCTGTACATACATAACGTACATCAGTTTGATGAATCGTTTATTCTTTTGGGAAATGGATTATTTCCCGAGCAGTCAGTGAGTTCTGGGCTCTGTGAACACACAGACCCAGGAGCTCACAGCCTCCATTTTCTCACTGGGAGACTGTCCAGAACCCACCTTCCACAGGAGCTGGACAGGGAACCCCCCAATGTCAATTCCAGTGTTCTGCCCAGTGCACTCAAAACCTTTCATTGAGGGAATAGTGACAGGCAGACTTAACAGGCCTCTTGGGTTGCCTTTTCTCTGGGTCCTGAAAACTGAAGAAATGTTTGGGACCCTAGGTTCCTTGGTGGGGAACCTGAAAGTCCAGCTTGATGCTGCTTTGGACTCCATGAGGCAACATTCTAAGAATGAGATTGCCATGTAGCCCAAAGCCATCCTGGAGGCTGGGTTCATCAAGCATAAAGACCTCATTTGTTTCTTTCCAGTTCGTGGACTTGCATTCACCAGCCTGAAGGTTGGCGTGGGACACCGACTGGATTCCCAGGCATCTGGGGTGCTTGGTAGGTGGTGTAGTGAGCCTGGGGTGCAGTGACAGAGGCCTGGGGAGCTCTGAGGAGCCCAGCCCACTTCTCACCTGACTGCCACTTCCCACTCCTGGCTTCCTCCCCTGATCCCTCCCAAGTCTGATCTCTAGGAAGATGACTGGTGGAAAGAGGGATGTCCTGATCGCCCACCCTTATCAACTGACTCTGGCCTGTGACATGTGGTTTGAAACCCTTTGTACACATGTATTCACCATAACAACGTTGTTTGGTAGATCCTGTATGATTTTAGGAAGAAAAGTAAGCCTCAAGGAGCACAGATGATTTGTCTTGGGTCATGTAGTGAGTAATAGTCCCTGGACCAGAGAGGAAAAGCCTCTTGCTTGTGTGGGGTAGCCAAGCGCCTGACCCTGGCCCTGCTGGCAGAGCTCTAGATGTCGCTGGGCACACAAAGCCCTGAGTCATGAGCCATCTGTGTCCCCTGGGTC